AGTGTACAGTAGAATACAGTAGGGTAGGATTTGACAAGATTTTAAAAATATTAACTTATTAACGCAACTTAAAAAAAATCGAAATTAATTTTAAAGCTGATCTGTGTTGTTTCCGATATTTCAGCTCCACTTTTAGTCTTTAAATTCACCCAACAGCCAAAAAATAATAAAAAAGCATAAACAATGTGTAGCAAACAGCTGCAGGTCAGATATTACCACATCAAATATGAAAAACGCTCTTTTGATTAACTTTGCTGAGAACAAATGTTATGATGAATAAAATATTCCCTGAAGGTTCTTGACTGTCTCATTAAATTTGAGGAAATCTTACATTTTTAATTTAACATCACTTGCTGACGTGCAATATGACCTGATCTTGTGTTTCTGTTACTAAGGGCCAGAAATATGCATAATAAAACAAGCGTCTAGAACAATACCAAGCCAAGAAAATCAGTGTCGTCTCCTCTCATTAAACTAATATCCAACAGATCTCAGGACGGCCGTCATGGCTTTGTATGTTGTGACTGCCGGGCTGACTGACAAGCTCACTGGCCCTGCGTGAAGCTTCATGCACGGGCACGCTGCCCAGAATGTGCCACGACCCCCTCCCCATCGTGTCCTGTCTGCCAGGATAACAAGAGCGCAGACTGAACCGCATTCCACCGCAGCACGGAGGTAAAGACAAACACCGAGGGAAAACACAAGGAATGCAACAACACGTGTCTTTCTGTGCAAAGAGACATAGAAGGCATGTTCAAGCAAAGACTCGCACAAAGATTCAACGCGGAGCGAAGGGAAGATAATAAGATAAAGGGCTCTATTGTATTCTGAAATAATGAGCTGTTGTTCTGTGAGCAGACATCAGTCAAAATAAAACACATTTTCTGTTTGCTGCACTTCTTTCTTTCTAACTTAACCAGGAGTTTTGTGGATTGCTCACCTGTGCCCGCTCCACTGCGCACTCTGTTGTGTGAATGTCCACCACGCCTTCTTTAAGAGCAGCCAGCCTGGCCTCCAGTCCCTCCACCACGTTCTGAGCCGCCCGGGTGGCTTCGAGACGAGATAAAGCTAGAAGAGAACAAGAGGAAAGGTAAGCTGAGAAGACGACAGGAGGACGAAGATCAACATTTGATAACATATGAAGAAGGAATGAGCAATAAGCTAAATAGTATTTCATAATGTTTTCACGTGTGGCAAGTTTTGTTTGACGTGTTCCCTTCTTCCTGCTCCCTTTCAAACAGAAAACTAGTGGTTAATTGGGTTCTTGGTTATGTATGCACATGTTTTCTTTGTCTTACTGATTGCTTGTTTTTTATTTTTAAAAATCTGTTTGAAATAAATTTTTAAATAAAATAAAATAATTAATCCGTGAGAATGTAAAGCACTTAAAAGTATGTTTTCTTAAAAAGGTTAAGGAAACGTAAAAAACAAATTTAACCTCAAGATATACACTTTTAGTGGGGGGGTGTTATGCAAAATTGACATTCTGTTAGCTTTATATCATGTTATAATGTCATTCAATCCTCAAAAACATACCCAGTGTTGCTTTGAYTCATTCATGCATGTTTGAGAAATCCTTTAATCTCCTGCAGTAGCCATGTGGAGCTGCCTAAACACTTGCTCGTACAAAGCACCGCCTATTTGTACCTAGCTCCTCCCTAAAGCTCAGTCTGCAGCTGTGATCCAGCCCCACACAGCACCCCTCCCCTGAAAGGTAGGAGGTTCTTAAAGAGACAGAGGCCAATTTCAAGACATCTAGATTTGCTTTTTCATAACTGAAGGTACTTACTTGTAAAATACATGCGTGAGTTGCTTCACCTCTTTAACTTACAGCTACAAACACTTCAAAAGTTTAAAGAAGTTACCGGTACATAAATTACAATTGTTGGTTTATATTTTCAGAGCCTCTTGCTCTTCCTCATGGCCGTCTCTCATTTCCTTTCTGTCTCTTTTAATTACGAGGGGATTTAAAGGGCCTGTGACATGCATATTCTTCAAATACAAAAAGTCAAAGAAAACATCTTTATATWTAAGAAAGCTGGARCAATWCRCACGATTTAACACATTTTCTCCCATAACTGGCATATTTTCTTTTAAACTTGGCTCAAAGTGAAACAGGAAGTGACATCAAAGGGGAACTCTTTAACTAAGAAAACTCTCTGGWCTTTGTCTATTKAAACATTATTATTTGAACTCTTCTTCATCTCTCTGATAGTGACTCAAAATAATCTAAAGAAACATCAGATTCTTCTCTACAGTCTGTGTTAGCCATTTTAGCAAAGCTCTGCTCACATGCAAGACATTCCCCTTTGACATCACTTCCTGTTACTTCACAGGCAAATATCTCAACAACTGTTCATCTCAGCGACATGAAATTTCTTTCGCAATAGTTTATCCATGTCCTCTTTCTAAAAATGCATTCATATGTATTACAAAAAATTGATGTCACAGGCACTTTAAAGCTTACATAATATGACTAGGCTTTTACAATGAAACAACAAAAAGCAAATTACGCATGGGGTGGAAAAACCCCGGCTGAAAGAAAACTAAACTCGTGAAGAAACAAAATAGTTTTTTTAGTAKGTCATCCAAATCCTCAAGAGTCATCAAGCCCGAGAGGCACGGCAAAATAGAAACGCACTTGTGTTAAAGGAGGAGATTTAAGTCTTCCTTTACAGACTCATTTTAGGCTAAAAATCAGAGCACATAAATTCCTGAGGTAAAACAGTGACTGATTCCAAGTCACGTCGTCAGGTAGATGTGAGCTGACAGAAGCATGACCTGAAGCTAAAATCCTTCACGTACACATCCGCAAACCTGCGAGCTTCTGGAGGCCATAAAAGGGCATCATCTATTACTCGCCAAGGCTTCATATAAAAGCTGATGTCAAATTTACATAGCCATCAGTCTTAGTTTTCTTATAAACCGAGAGCACTGAACCAAAAGCAAGAAAAGGTCTTTGTTTTAAAGGAGATTTAAATCTCCTGATCCGATGGCTCAAGGCTGTCAGTTCCTCTGAAAGGCACTCCAGTGTTGTTAATGTGGGCTCAGGAATTAATTCCTCCTGTCATCGGTTTAACGAACGATTTTAATAAAACACAGCAGAATTACCTTCTTTGATTTCTCGCTCCCCACTCTGCAGCTGCTGCAGCGTGGAGGCGTGATGTGCAGAAACCACCACCAGGTTGTCTTTCAGGGAGGGCACCGCTCCCAGGGTCCCCGCCTCCGCGGACAGCCGCTCGAGTCGGGGAGTCAGGGCCGCGACCTGAGCGAGCTGCGACTGCGGAGCACAAGATGAAGGAGAAAGTTCACTAATGGGTTTGTCGTGAACAGGTTATCAGGTAACATGATGCTCCTGATTACTCCGAACAGCGGGGAAATGAATAATTCAAGTGTAACTAAGCAAAAAAAAAAAAAGAAAGGTTCAGACAGAAAGGGACAATTTTTTCAATCTAAAATTGACAGGATTAATTTACCTCAGAATAAAAATGAAAACTTTGTTAAATATAGGGTCGGGTATAGAGTCTTGAGTCTCGATTGGAACCGGGAGGAACATGTCGATTTTCCCAGAATCGTTCGAATTTTAACATTTCGATACCCGGTTCGCAGACTAGAAGAAGCAGCCGCCGAACACCAATGAAGAAGAATCTGCAGATAGTGTGTTAGCTACCTCGTTTAAACCATACAAACCTTTTTGACTCCGCCTCTGAATCATTCAAATTTAAACAAAGCCTAACCCTATTCATTAGGCCTATAAATGCAGATTGTTATTTTTATTACTTATCTTGTTTAGGTCGCAGCATTATGCATTACACAGATTTTATATATATACGTATGTGTATATACTGTTTATACGTGTGTATATATATATGTGTATATATATATATATATATATAAAATGCCTAATGCTGCAACCTAACAAGTAATAAAAATAACATTCTGCGTTTATAGGCCTAATGAATAGGGTTAGGCTTTGTTTAAATTTGAATCATTCAGAGGCATGTATTTATTAGGGGTGCAACGATACAGAAAATTCACGATTCTGTTCGGTTCAATACTTAAATCTCACGGTTCAATATTTTTTCGATACAAAAAAGAGAAATTTCCATGCCCTTTTAACTTGYAATTTATTGAAAATAATAATGATCATTGGTTTATCCTCAGAAGTACAGTTTTAAAATTAAATGTTGCTGAGACAGCAAGTTTCTCAGTGGATCTGCGCTCGACAATGCAGCCTAGGTGGAGTAGTCGAACACAGATCCACTGATTCTTCAACACAGAACATCTTCAGAAGAGAAGCTGGAAAAATAAATTTTAGACGTTTAGAAGTTTAGACGTTTAATTTTAGCTCATGTATCATTTTTTCACATCAGTATGTCATCTTTGAGAAAACATTGTTATAAACCTGAAAAACAATAAAAAACAAGCACCATTTGGCTAGCCAGCCTCTAAATTTCACCTGATAACCTTCACTCGCTTTTCTGAGCTCAGCATCGCTGGACTTTTCAACAGACGACGCTGCGTCCAGCCACCGGTCCTGCTTCTCCAAGGCCTGGTTCAGAGCCGCGAGCTCCGCAGAAGCCGCTCTGACCCGGGTCTCGATGTGGACCCGATCGCGGGCGGCCTGAAGCTCCCGGGTGCAGACGTCCCACTCAGTCTGAATCAGGTCTATATTAGTCCTGACGGAGTCCACGCTCACTGCCTCTGCGGGGGGACACACGGGAACAACAGCTCATATCAGAAAGATTTTATTTAAAAAAAACAATCTTTAAAAAATAATTACTTAGAGTTTATGCAAAACTAAACAAACATAAAAAGTTCAGTTTTGTAAAATATTTTAGGAGTAAAAAGAAATAAGAAATGATCTTCAGACCTCGCTCAAGCTGGTCCATCAGGCTCCGCCCCTCCTGAACCACCTGGCTAACTGGGCTTTCCTTTGCTTTAAGTTCCAACTCCAGATTCTAAAGTTACACATAAAAATAAAAAAATAAACCTGTTGAAATAAATCCTTATTATATATTAGATTTTGCCATGGCCCCTGCAAAAAGAGAGCTGCCAAAAGAATAACAACCATTCAGTATATTAAATTAGAGTAAACTGATATAATATGCAGCTTTACCTTCAGCTTCTCCTGCAGGTCGGGTGCGTCAGGTGTAGTTTCAGGGGGTGTGGAGGCCAGAGTCTGAGCGGATGTCTTCCATGTTTTCATCCAGCTGAATAAGTCAGAAACCTTGTTTTCAAACCTGCAGAACAGTGTGGGATTCAGTGTTTGCACGCCTCTTATTCTATATACAGTATTATCATTTTATACACAGGTTTCTTACAGTCTTCTGGTTTCGACATCCACCTCCACCATTCGTCTCTTACAGGGAGCAGGTTCGACCAGCTCGTGTTCAACGATGGAAGCAACCGAGGAATCTGTACGGTCTACTTGAGCCATCCCAGCATTCGTTGCAGCCTTCATTATGTGACGGAGAATAAGACGAACAAACAAAAAATTAAATAAAWCACTCCTAATAAGGTAGGCCTGTCRCGATAACTAATTTTGTTGGACGATAAATTGTCTCAGATATTATYGTGAKAAAYGATAATATTGCTTGAAAAACATTTTAAACTAATATAATCTCATCCGYTTACAAAGCGTRTGGAAGTTTATGAAATTTAYCAGTGGTGGGCAGCGCTAATCCAAAAATTAGYTCYGCAATTTCTAAAGCACTTATGAAAATATTTAGGTCCACAWCTTCAAAAGCGCTTATGCCATTGAAAAYCTAGCGGAAGCTAATTTTTAAAGYGCAAGTTCAATTTGACACTTACTAGCTGGCAATAATTCATGTACAATATATGCACAATACTGCCAACTAGTGGTGTATGAACTCTTGTACAGCTTAATCCTACAACCGCCGATTGCTGGGGATGTGATTTCATGAAACAGACCTTTGGTTCCTGGTGTAAAAATTAAAAAGTTGTTGAGGATTGCTAGTTCGGCTGCTTCTTTGTCTTTTTCTTTTGTTGTAGATTTTTCATTAAAAAGCAATAAAGTAATTTTAAAACTGTTTATTGGAAAACTGAAGCGATGCATTCTGGGTACATGACAGATTTGATTTGTGACGGGAAACGAAAGCACGGAGTACAGGAAACTATCCTCACTTCAAAATAAGAGCTTGGATTTTAAAGTTTTCCGTGTAGTTGCTCCAGCTGACCACTAGATGTCAGTCTTATTCAGCACAACATCTTTAAATCATTTCTGCGTCTCTAACCCCGTTGGCCGATTGCTTTGACCAATTACGTCAAGTATTGAGCTCCAGCATTTAAATTTTATTTTTTTAAAAACGGAGCTCCGATTGTAAAGTAAAATAAATCCATACATACAAAATTTTAGTACGGATTACAAACATTAACTGTTTTTGCTGGGACAGGGAGTGTCGCCTGGTCACATAGTTCTAACCATTGCCTTCCTACTATGTAAGCAGACACGAAGCATTGWGGGAAATGTCTGTAAAATGAGAACCGTGACCGAAAGCAACAGTCAGCATAGATACCTTCCCAATAATTGTATTTATCTGGGAGGGGTGCTGTTGGATAGATCATGTGTGTTGTGATTCCTTGAAAGCCATACCTTCTGCTGTTCAAGATAATGATTGATAAGATAATGAACTGCAATTTACGTACGTAAAAACAAAGTGACCAGAGATCAGAGATTATGAATACAGCAGCAGCTGCTGAAGCTGTAAAACCACTTCCCGCCTCCGACTTCGTAAAATAACTGTGGTCACCCTTACACCGCTTGCAAAACTTACGAAAATTCACGAAATTTACAGAAATTTGCAGATGGACCGAGAGTGGAGTTTGTGGAAACAAAACGCAACAACATCGCTACCCACCTCCTCTATCCATGCCGGCACAGTTTATTCAGCATGTCTTCCTCTGGCTTCATAAAATAATTGCGGTCACCCTCACAATGCTTACGAAGTAAACGAAAGTTCGGAAATTTACTTAACGCATAAAAACGAGCTCTCAGCGAACTCGAGGTTCAGTGCGACGTCCTGAGGCGTCGAACAATCGAAGCTAAATGCCTGCTCTCATGCTACAGAGGTTACGAGACACAAAGAAAACAAACAAGCAGGCAAATGAAAATTATCAGCCACATTTTATTTATCAWCCTCAGTTTCATTTCTCGTGCGATTAATTTATTTACAGTTTATCGCAACAGACTAAGTAAATAAATAAGCAAACAAAAGAAACTCTATAAATCGCTTGTGATTTAGAAGTTTGCTGACCCAGATTAAAATAACTATTACATAACAAAATCCTAAGCTGTAAGACAGAATAACATACCTGAGTTAAGCAGTCCTCCAACTTCTGAACCAGATTGTTCCACCTGTGAGTTAGCTCCTCTGTGTCGGCCTCGATCTTAGCTCCCGCCTCCGAACTTTGCAGCAGCTGCATCACGTCCTGTCCCGCATCCGACAGTTTGTCCAGAGTCCCTCTCGTCTTCTCCATGTCCTCCTTTAAAATCTTTAACAAGGAAAAGGTGAGGGTAAAAAAAATGCATCGACAAACAAGAAAAATACGAAAACTATAGAGATTAAAAAGAACAAGATGCGTGCTTACAGCTAATCTTCGAACGTTTGAATCAAATTCACTGGAGTTCTTGAAGTTGCTCGTCTGAACTTCATTTAAGGCCTCCTCTTTTTCAGCCAGCCATGTTTTAAACAAACTCTGGAGGAAAACACTTTTCTTAGTTTTCTGTTGTGCAACAAAAGCATTTGAGTCAGGCTTTAACTCCACATTGCTTTCAAAAACTGATTTATTTCAACCCAAGAAAGAAAAGTAGTTTGGTTTGCATTAGAAGAAGAGAACAGAGTGAAACAAGCTCTTTTAATCTCAGAACAATGGAAATTTCCCACTGACATTTTAAAACCCAGAAGAGTTTTTAGTTTTAATTTATGCCATATTTGCTGAACCTCATTATGTTTAGCTCAGTTTTCCGTCGCAGATTTTTTGCAACTAATAATCTCTGCACAAAAAAAAGGTGAACAAGAGGCTTTTTGTAGAAGATGTCGTGTTTTTATCCGGTGAAATCTCTCACCTGGTCTGATAAAAGCTGCTGCCAAACCAGAAAAACCTCCTGCAGCTTTTGCCACCGTTCTTCTGTCCAGCGACACACGGCTGCCCAGCGTTCGCCCAGAGACTAAATCCAGACAAAAAATTAATACAGTTACTATTTATCAGTTTGAATAAAGTAAAATTAGACACAAGGAAATCAGAATTTTTCAACAAACGTTATGGATTGAAATCTTGATCTTTACCTGTAGTTGTTCCTCCAGGGCAGCAGTGGTGCTCTCACCACCGTTCTCATCCACCACCACCACCATGTGAGTCAGAGAGTTCACCTTCACCTGCTCCGCCTCCAAGTCATTTTGGAGTTCCTGCACAAGAGAACGGAGTCAATTCAACCAACCGAGCTCCAMAACATAAGTATATTTCAGGGAAAAACTTGTGCGAGACTAACAATTAAAGGGATCCACGATTAGTTGTAACATTAGACTTTATTTGATAAACATATATTTTAACTGTAAAATAAAGACGGTAAAAATACTGTAGGCTGTTTAGTTTTGTAAATTTTTAAAAATGTATTTTAGCACGGATGGAGCCATTTTATTTACACATAAAGCATTCTGGGTAAATGATGACGTGGATAGGTCCTCGGTGTGAGCGAGCTATATCCACCCTGTAGGTTAATCTTGGACAATATCTGATGATCGACTCTTTTAAATGAAACCAGAGAGCGTTGACAGAGAGGAGAAG